TGTTCGCAAAAGCGATCGGTGTGGGACGCGCGATCTCTTCATGCGCACGCGTCGAAGTCACGATCGACAGCTTGGCAAGCTGCTCGACGGACAGCAGCTCCCTTGAAAACAGGCTGCACGGAAAGCTAAGGCACAGTCAGCCTCAGGTAAACCGGAACATGGCAAACCTAAAATGCTCGACAGGAAACGTACACAACGCCCACGTTCATCATCCTCTCGTCGAGCTCCGCTTTCGGCGCCTCGCTAATCGCATTCAACTGGTCTTCGAACACATCCACCTCGACCTCGCCTGCGGTTAGGATGAGGCCACGTCGAACCGTCGGCTCGTTCATGACGGGTTGGGAGGCGGGGCCCGTAGCCATGGCAGGCCTAGCAGTAGGGAGGGCGGGAGTGTAGGGAAGTTGGAAACTAGGGAGTAGAGAAGAAAATCTCAGAGACAACAACAAAATGAGAACACACTCAGGGTATTAGCTGTTTGCCTTCACCCCCACCGAGACAGACTCGGGTGCAAGGGCGACGAGGCAGGGCGCGTTCCGAGACGGCGGGAGGAGGAGCTTTTTGCATAGGGGGGCGGGACCCTATTGGCCTCGACGTGAAATCTGGTGGTTGGCTGCATTTGGTGGGGCGCCTTGCATGGAGCTGAAAGGCCCCTTTCAAGGAGCGGGAGGGGATGTGTAGTGGGCGTTCGACATGTCACCGGGGTCGAGCGCCAAACGAAACGGGCCCGTCGAGGGCAAGAGCGGTGGAGCGCGGCGCACATGGGAGTGGCTTGCGTCCGCTCGCGAAAATTCGCTGACGGGTTCCGTCGGCGAGGCGACTCCCGACGAGTGTTCAGTGTGTTACCGGACGGAACCCGTCTACGAACCGAGCGTGGGGTTGGGCTCGGTTCGGTTCGGTTCGGGTGGGGACCACTGCCAGCTCGAGGGCGCGGGATGCTGGCGTCACGTGTAGATGGCGCCAGCTCGGGGTGCCCGTTTTCGGGCAGGAGGGGGGGGGGGGGGGGGGGGGGGGGGTGGCTCCCGCCCCTCGCATGCTCCGCTAGGCGACTGCGGGAAAACCGAAACCCCTCCGAGGAAAACCCGCAGGGGCGATGGGGGCTTTCCGGAGGGATTCGGCCGAAATACTCCCCTTGAAGAGAAGTCCGACGCAAAATGTGATCCCAAGTGCATCTACACACTAGTAACTCTATCTTGATTGGTCAGACAAGTTTTTTTGAGATTTCTGATTCGTTGGACATGCAAAAAGAAAAAAATATGATGCATCAGACGAGCCCAAAGGGCCCGTCTGATGCATCAGGGGGGTTAAAATCCTAGCGAGGACCCTGGTTCACCCAGATGCTCCAAGTTGTTACAATACAACTGAGTGGGTCAAAGTGAGCCATTTTGCGGCAGTCCATTACACGACAGTAACCACTTCGGTACGTACGTATGTACATTGAAATGCCCTGGTATGCAGGCACAGCAGCAGTGTGTGCCGCCAACCAACCAACACCACGTGGCTACTGCAGCAGCACACGTACAACATTATGTAGTGATTGCAGTGGTGTGAGTCAGATCAGATCGGCACTAACATAAGTAGTGACACCAGTAGTGCTTGTCAGATCAGATGCCTCATGTGACATGTCAGATGTCGCATGTCACATGTCGCATGTCACATGTCACATGTCGCATGTCGCATGTCACATGTCACATATCACATGTGAGCCGTGGCAAAGAAGTTTTGGAAGAAGCGGAGGCCATCGGCTGCATCATCTCGACACAAAAGACCTGAAGGGGGTGGTGGTCGTGGGGATTGAGGAAACGGAGTGAATTGCCCAGGAAACTTAGAAAGAAGCAAAGCAACAAACAGAAAGATTGTCCACTGATGCATGGACATGATATGCCTCTGAATGCATGATAAGGCCTGAGGATTCAGGAAACATGGACAACAGTGACAACAGTGAAGGGACATTAACCCCACCAAGAGCAACACCCTTACCCTTCACCCCTGGTGCTAGCAGCTCTTCATTGAAGAACACTCAGAACAACACTTAACTAAGCATCGTACAGAACAGCGCTTAACTAAGAGGGACACCCAGAACAACAATTAACTAAGCATCATACACTCTTCTTACCTTTGACCTCGGCTGCTACCAGCCCTTCCTCAGCAAGTTTCTTTAGAGGAACACTCAGAAGATACAGCACTTAGCAAAGCAACACCCTTTATAGCATTCTTTTCTCACCCTTGGCATCGGCTGCTAGCAGCCCCTTCTTGGCAAATTTCTTTGAAAGGTACACTCAGAACAACACTTGATCAAGCAGACTCAGGACGGGCACCCAGAACACCACTTAACTAAGCAAATACATATACATCCCACCATTAGCCTCGGCTGCTAGCAACTCCTCGTTGGTGACATTTTTGAGAGGCATACGCACAGCACTTAGCAAAGCAACAGCACTTAGTGTTGCTCACCCTTGGCCTCGGCCGCTAGCAACTCCTCCTTGGCGACAGCTGGCGAGACTCCGAGCGCCTGCGCCACGTCAGCAATGGACACCCCGACTCGCAGCGCATCATTGGTCAATACCATCTCCTGGATCTTGCGTGTGACCTGGCATAACGGGTGCGGAATAGTGGAGAGGGACAAAGCTGAGATGATGAAGGGGAAATGGTGGAGGAGGGAATGGAAATTTGTGCGGGCTTGGGCAGGCTTGAAGGGGGGGATAGAGGAAGAAAAAACAAATCATGCATGCAAGCTGGCATGGCAGGTAGGATACAGGGCGAAAGTAGTTGACCTTGCTTGTGCGCTTGCATGCATTGGCGTGGAGGAGATGGGAGAAGAAGAAGAAGAAGAAGAGGGAAGTGGTGGAGGAATGGAGGGAAGTGGTGGAGGAACGGAGGGAGGAGAAGAGGAAGATGAAGGGGGAGCGAACGAGGGGGAGTGAGAAGGAAGCAAACGAGGGGGAGTGAGAAGGAAGCAAACGAGGGGGAGTGAGAAGGAAGCAAACGAGGGGGAGTGAGAAGGAAGCAAACGAGGGGGAGTGAGAAGGAAGCAAACGAGGGGGAGTGAGAAGGAAGCAAACGAGGGGGAGTGAGAAGGAAGCAAACGAGGGGGAGTGAGAAGGAAGCAAACGAGGGGGAGTGAGAAGGAAGCAAACGAGGGGGAGTGAGGAGCATGAAGAGGAGGGATAATGGATGAGCTGCTGAGAGGGAAGATAGAGGGAAGGGAGGGGGAGGAAGGGGGTAAGAAAGACAGAGCGGGGAAGGATAGGACAGAGGGAACAAGAAGGGAACGAATGGCAGGGATGGAGAAGAGGAGGAGAAAGGGCAGGGGGGGTGGGGCAGGGAGAAAAGGCTGGGGAGGAGGGGCACTGGAGGAGGGGCACTGGAGGAAGCGGGGAGGACGGGCGACACTGTCAGGCAAGGTTAAAAAAAACGACCGTATTATTGAAATTTTACCGTAAAAAACGGTACCGTAAAAAACGGCCGTAAAAACCGGTTTAAAACGGTTCCAGGAGGTGTTTTTTGTTTGAAGAAAAAAAATGGCTGATGTGTGGGACCAAATTGATGGCGAAAGGTACCAGGATGAAGAGGACGAACCCCTCCTTGCATGCGTGTGCTTGTGGGCATGATTGAAAATGTATACGACCTTGTTTTCCCCTTTTTTTTCTTGGTGACAACAGTTCTCTAACAAAAAAACGCCGTTTTTTTGGAAAATTACCGTAAAAAACGGACCGTAAAATACGAAAACCGTAATTTGAACCTTGCTGTCAGGGGCACTGTCAGTTTTGGGGGGCCCTCAAAAGACGGGCAACATTGTCAAGAGGAGTAAGTGAATGAGGAGGGAAGTAAGTGAATGGGGGTAGGGATGGGATTGGAGGGGAAGCCGAATGGCCAGAAGCAAGAAGGGCGGAATGAGCAAGAAGAAGGAAATGAAAAGGAAACTTGCAAGGGATACCACTTGCAAGGGGTACCACTTGCAAGGGATACCACTTGCAAGGGATACCACTTGCACTGCATTCATTGAAATGAATGTGTAATCATGGATACAAAAGCCCCTGCGGTTGCTGAAGTACAGTGCATTCAGTCCAGCACAGTAAGTCAGTGCATTGTAGCGAAAATTCTGATGCATACTGCACTTTCTTCATTGCATTGCACCGCACTGCACTGCACAGTACCGCACTGCACCTACATGCTCGTCACTGTGAGTCTTGAGCTGCACGACGAGGATGCCACTGTCGAAGCGCCTTAGCACAGCAGGGCTGGGGATGGGAGAGAACAGAGAGGCAGAGGGAAGAGGGGAACGGAGGAGATGAGAGAGAGCAGTAGCGAGAAACTGCTTATTAGGCGCCTCAAAAGGGAAGGGAGAGAGGAGAAGAGAGAGAGCACCAGCAGTGAGTATCTATTGCGAGTCTTGAGCTGCACGACGAGGATGCCACTGTCAAAGCGCCTTAGCACCGCAGGGCTAGCCAATTGGAAAAGTTTGAACGAGAGGGACAGAGAGGGAGGTGTATCTTTAGCACACTAAAAACTGCTGTGAGTCTTGAGCTGCACGACGAGGATGCCGCTGTCAAAGCGGCGTAGTACAGCAGAGCTGGACATTTGAGATAGAGAGAACGAGGGACAGACAGATAGCCTGAGGGAGGAGAGCAAAGAGAGAATGAGAGATCGAAAAGAAAGCCAGAGAGGGGAGAGGAGAGAAAAGATAGAATAAGAAAGGGGAAAAAGGGAGGAGAGGAGAGAGGGGACAGAAGAAAGAGGGCACAGAAGACAGACGTCACTGTGAGTCGTCAGTCAGGTGCAACCATGAGATTACCACAGCTGAGGCAACGTACAGCTGCAAGGCTGGGCATTATAGAGAAAGAGAGAGAGAGAGACAAAGCAGCTGTCTGCCTCTGTTCTTGCCACCCGTTTTCATGTACCAATGGCTGATATGATACGAAGGATTGTTTAAGAGAGCAACTGAGAGATACATTATTTGGTTTGGACTTGCTTGCAAGTTTGAAGTTTAAGGTTGGTGTGACTCACGAGTTGAAGGAGGACCAGAGTGAACAGGCCTTGAGAAGATCGTCTGGCGATATGAGCTCTGAGAGACATGGGAGAGCACACACATGCACACACACACGAACGCACGCTCGCACGCACGCTCGCACGCACGCACGCACGCATGCACGCACGCACGCACGCACGCACATGCACTCGCACACTCCCCCCCTCCCCCCACCCCACCACACACACACACAACAAAGAACATGCAGGTTCACATAAACACAATCGCATAGCCACACAATCACATAGCCACACAATCACATAGCCACACAGTCACTCTGTGAGTCACGAAGCCACATCAGAAGCGGAAAGACACAACGTTCGCCGTTCGACTTACATGCTTGCTTGCTCCTACGTCCTCATCAACACAACAGACTCTCTGCAAACCCTTCACCACAACAGTGTTCATCTTGCCACTGCCAGAATGGCTTGCCGAGCACAGCACTGCCAGCTCGGGACTGCCAGCTCAGCACTGCCAGCTCAGCACTGCCAGCACAGCACTTTCGACTTGCCTCAGCGAAGAGCGTTGGGATGAGAGCGGTTCATTACACACCTGTGCCTCTGGCTCGGTTGAATATGCAGTATACGTCGACCAATAGCATCGTGCCACCTGTCTTCTCCAGCACTGGACCTATGAAATCTGCAAGCTGGGAGCCGAGCAGGGGAGAGGAATGAGAAAAAGTGAGTGGAGAAGGGGCAGGTGAAAGGAAAAGGGGCAGTGGAGAGGAATAGGAAGAGGTGAGAGGAATGAGAGGAGGTGAGAGGAATAAGAGGATGTGAGAGGAATGGGAGGAGGGGAGTGGAATGGGAGGAGGGGAGCAGCAGATGCCAGCTGTAAAGAGAAGGGCTTTTTGAGAGGGAAACGATTCAGAGAATGAAAAGGGTTTTTTGAGAAGGGTTCTTTCAGAGGGTGAAAGAAGCCAGTGGGCAGGGGATGATTCAGCCAGTGGGCAGGGGATGATTCAGCCAGTGGGCAGGGGATGATTCAGCCAGTGGGCAGGGGATGATTCAGCCAGTGGGCAGGGGATGATTCAGCCAGTGGGCAGGGAATGATTCAGCCAGTGGGCAGGGGATGTCTCAGCCAGTGGGCAGGGGATGATTCAGCCAGTGGGCAGGGAATGATTCAGCCAGTGGGCAGGGGATGTCTCAGCCAGTGGGCAGGGGATGTCTCAGCCAGTGGGCAGGGGATGTTTCAGCCAGTGGGCAGGGAATGTTTCAGCCAGTGGGCAGGGGATGTTTCAGCCAGTGGGCAGGGGATGTTTCAGCCAGTGGGCAGGGGATGTCTCAGCCAGTGGGCAGGGGATGTTTCAGCCGGTGGGCAGGGAATGTTTCAGCCAGTGGGCAGGGGATGTTTCAGCCAGTGGGCAGGGAATGTTTCAGCCAGTGGGCAGGGGATGTTTCCGCCAGTGGGCAGGGGATGTTCAGCCTAAGGACGCTGGTATGCTACAGAGGTTGTTAACCATAGTGTATGCTATGAGTGGACATAGTCGACTCAAAGCACACAAAAACGCAACAGTTGGATGAGTATTCGCTTCACTCTTGTGTACCGTCTGTCCACTCAAGAAACACACGAGCATGCTCTGGCTGGGGGGATGGGTATCGCCTGCAGGGATGAGGCTGGTATCGCCTGCAGGGATGAGGCTGGTATCGCCTGCAGGGATGAGGTTGGTATCGCCTGCAGGGATGAGGCTGGTATCGCCTGCAGGGATGAGGTTGGTATCGCCTGCAGGGATGAGGCTGGTATCGCCTGCAGGGATGAGGTTGGTATCGCCTGCAGGGATGAGGCTGGTATCGCCTGCAGGGATGAGGCTGGTATCGCCTGCAGGGATGAGGCTGGTATCGCCTGCAGGGATGAGGTTGGTATCGCCTGCAGGGATGAGGCTGGTATCGCCTGCAGGGATGAGGCTGGTATCGCCTGCAGGGATGAGGCTGGTATCGCCTGCAGGGATGAGGTTGGTATCGCCTGCAGGGATGAGGCTGGTATCGCCTGCAGGGATGAGGCTGGTATCGCCTGCAGGGATGAGGCTGGTATCGCCTGCAGGGATGAGGCTGGTATCGCCTGCAGGGATGAGGCTGGTATCGCCTGCAGGGATGAGGCTGGTATCGCCTGCAGGGATGAGGTTGGTATCGCCTGCAGGGATGAGGTTGGTATCGCCTGCAGGGATGAGGTTGGTATCGCCTGCAGGGATGAGGCTGGTATCGCCTGCAGGGATGAGGCTGGTATCGCCTGCAGGGATGAGGCTGGTATCGCCTGCAGGGATGAGGCTGGTATCGCCTGCAGGGATGAGGCTGGTATCGCCTGCAGGGATGAGGCTGGTATCGCCTGCAGGGATGAGGCTGGTATCGCCTGCAGGGATGAGATGGGTATCGCCTGCAGGGATGAGGTTGGTATCGCCTGCAGGGATGAGGTTGGTATCGCCTGCAGGGATGAGGCTGGTATCGCCTGCAGGGATGAGGCTGGTATCGCCTGCAGGGATGAGGCTGGTATCGCCTGCAGGGATGAGGTTGGTATCGCCTGCAGGGATGAGGTTGGTATCGCCTGCAGGGATGAGGCTGGTATCGCCTGCAGGGATGAGGCTGGTATCGCCTGCAGGGATGAGGCTGGTATCGCCTGCAGGGATGAGGCTGGTATCGCCTGCAGGGATGAGGTTGGTATCGCCTGCAGGGATGAGGTTGGTATCGCCTGCAGGGATGAGGTTGGTATTGCCTGCAGGGATGAGGCTGGTATCGCCTGCAGGGATGAGGCTGGTATCGCCTGCAGGGATGAGGCTGGTATCGCCTGCAGGGATGAGGCTGGTATCGCCTGCAGGGATGAGGTTGGTATCGCCTGCAGGGATGAGGTTGGTATCGCCTGCAGGGATGAGGCTGGTATCGCCTGCAGGGATGAGGTTGGTATCGCCTGCAGGGATGAGGCTGGTATCGCCTGCAGGGATGAGGTTGGTATCGCCTGCAGGGATGAGGCTGGTATCGCCTGCAGGGATGAGGTTGGTATCGCCTGCAGGGATGAGGCTGGTATCGCCTGCAGGGATGAGGCTGGTATCGCCTGCAGGGATGAGGCTGGTATCGCCTGCAGGGATGAGGCTGGTATCGCCTGCAGGGATGAGGCTGGTATCGCCTGCAGGGATGAGGCTGGTATCGCCTGCAGGGATGAGGTTGGTATCGCCTGCAGGGATGAGGTTGGTATCGCCTGCAGGGATGAGGTTGGTATCGCCTGCAGGGATGAGGTTGGTATCGCCTGCAGGGATGAGGTTGGTATCGCCTGCAGGGATGAGGTTGGTATCGCCTGCAGGGATGAGGTTGGTATCGCCTGCAGGGATGAGGTTGGTATCGCCTGCAGGGATGAGGCTGGTATCGCCTGCAGGGATGAGGCTGGTATCGCCTGCAGGGATGAGGCTGGTATCGCCTGCAGGGATGAGGCTGGTATCGCCTGCAGGGATGAGGTTGGTATCGCCTGCAGGGATGAGGTTGGTATCGCCTGCAGGGATGAGGTTGGTATCGCCTGCAGGGATGAGGTTGGTATCGCCTGCAGGGATGAGGTTGGTATCGCCTGCAGGGATGAGGCTGGTATCGCCTGCAGGGATGAGGCTGGTATCGCCTGCAGGGATGAGGCTGGTATCGCCTGCAGGGATGAGGCTGGTATCGCCTGCAGGGATGAGGCTGGTATCGCCTGCAGGGATGAGGCTGGTATCGCCTGCAGGGATGAGGCTGGTATCGCCTGCAGGGATGAGGCTGGTATCGCCTGCAGGGATGAGGTTGGTATCGCCTGCAGGGATGAGGTTGGTATCGCCTGCAGGGATGAGGTTGGTATCGCCTGCAGGGATGAGGTTGGTATCGCCTGCAGGGATGAGGTTGGTATCGCCTGCAGGGATGAGGTTGGTATCGCCTGCAGGGATGAGGTTGGTATCGCCTGCAGGGATGAGGTTGGTATCGCCTGCAGGGATGAGGTTGGTATCGCCTGCAGGGATGAGGCTGGTATCGCCTGCAGGGATGAGGCTGGTATCGCCTGCAGGGATGAGGCTGGTATCGCCTGCAGGGATGAGGCTGGTATCGCCTGCAGGGATGAGGTTGGTATCGCCTGCAGGGATGAGGTTGGTATCGCCTGCAGGGATGAGGTTGGTATCGCCTGCAGGGATGAGGTTGGTATCGCCTGCAGGGATGAGGTTGGTATCGCCTGCAGGGATGAGGCTGGTATCGCCTGCAGGGATGAGGCTGGTATCGCCTGCAGGGATGAGGCTGGTATCGCCTGCAGGGATGAGGTTGGTATCGCCTGCAGGGATGAGGTTGGTATCGCCTGCAGGGATGAGGCTGGTATCGCCTGCAGGGATGAGGCTGGTATCGCCTGCAGGGATGAGGCTGGTATCGCCTGCAGGGATGAGGCTGGTATCGCCTGCAGGGATGAGGCTGGTATCGCCTGCAGGGATGAGGCTGGTATCGCCTGCAGGGATGAGGCTGGTATCGCCTGCAGGGATGAGGTTGGTATCGCCTGCAGGGATGAGGCTGGTATCGCCTGCAGGGATGAGGTTGGTATCGCCTGCAGGGATGAGGCTGGTATCGCCTGCAGGGATGAGGTTGGTATCGCCTGCAGGGATGAGGTTGGTATCGCCTGCAGGGATGAGGTTGGTATCGCCTGCAGGGATGAGGCTGGTATCGCCTGCAGGGATGAGGCTGGTATCGCCTGCAGGGATGAGGTTGGTATCGCCTGCAGGGATGAGGCTGGTATCGCCTGCAGGGATGAGGCTGGTATCGCCTGCAGGGATGAGGTTGGTATCGCCTGCAGGGATGAGGCTGGTATCGCCTGCAGGGATGAGGCTGGTATCGCCTGCAGGGATGAGGCTGGTATCGCCTGCAGGGATGAGGCTGGTATCGCCTGCAGGGATGAGGCTGGTATCGCCTGCAGGGATGAGGCTGGTATCGCCTGCAGGGATGAGGTTGGTATCGCCTGCAGGGATGAGGCTGGTATCGCCTGCAGGGATGAGGTTGGTATCGCCTGCAGGGATGAGGCTGGTATCGCCTGCAGGGATGAGGCTGGTATCGCCTGCAGGGATGAGGTTGTTCTACTTTGCTGCACCCTTGTCTAGAGCAGTCAGCACGCTTCGACGTTACTCTAGTGAAAGTGGCAGTGGCAAAGCAACGAATGCTCAAGCGACTGCCCGGCTGATTGTGGCACAGCAGATTGCAGCGACTAGTAACTGATCTCTGTAAAGCGCTCCCCTCTGCCTCTGCCTTGCCTCGCGCCCACCTCTGCCTCGCGCCCACCTCTGCCCCGCGCCCACCTCTGCCTCGCGCCCACCTCTGCCTCGCGCCCACCTCTGCCTCGCGCCCACCTCTGCCTCGCGCCCACCTCTGCCTCGCGCCCACCTCTGCCTCGCGCCCACCTCTGCCCCGCGCCCACCTCTGCCTGCCTCGCGCCCACCTCTGCCTCGCGCCCACCTCTGCCTCGCGCCCACCTCTGCCTCGCGCCCACCTCTGCCTCGCGCCCACCTCTGCCTCGCGCCCACCTCTGCCTCGCGCCCACCTCTGCCTCGCGCCCACCTCTGCCTCGCGCCCACCTCTGCCTCGCGCCCACCTCTGCCTCGCGCCCACCTCTGCCTCGCGCCCACCTCTGCCTCGCGACCACCTCTGCCTCGCGCCCACCTCTGCCTCGCGCCCACCTCCGCCTCGCGCCCACCTCCGCCTCGCGCCCACCTCCGCCTCGCGCCCACCTCCGCCTCGCGCCCACCTCCGCCTCGCGCCCGCCCACCTCCGCCTCGCGCCCGCCCACCTCCGCCTCGCGCCCACCTCTGCCTCGCGCCCACCTCTGCCTCGCGCCCACCTCTGCCTCGCGCCCACCTCTGCCTCGCGCCCACCTCTGCCTCGCGCCCACCTCTGCCTCGCGCCCACCTCTGCCTCGCGCCCACCTCTGCCTCGCGCCCACCTCTGCCTCGCGCCCACCTCTGCCTCGCGCCCACCTCTGCCTCGCGCCCACCTCCGCCTCGCGCCCACCTCCGCCTCGCGCCCGCCTCCGCCTCGCGCCCGCCTCTGCCTCGCGCCCGCCTCTGCCTCGCGCCCGCCTCTGCCTCGCGCCCACCTCTGCCTCGCGCCCACCTCTGCCTCGCGCCCACCTCTGCCTCGCGCCCACCTCTGCCTCGCGCCCACCTCTGCCTCGCGCCCACCTCTGCCTCGCGCCCACCTCTGCCTCGCGCCCACCTCTGCCTCGCGCCCACCTCTGCCTCGCGCCCATCTCTGCCTCGCGCCCACCTCTGCCTCGCGCCCACCTCTGCCTCGCGCCCACCTCTGCCTCGCGCCCACCTCTGCCTCGCGCCCACCTCTGCCTCGCTCCAACATAGCACCCACATGTGAATTACTGCCCTTTCCACGAAGCACACGAGGGGTTTGAGTCCTCCACGAACCCTGAAGCTCAAAGCCTGTGATCAAAGGCCCATCGCACCCACCTCTCTGGTGAGGAAAGGATAAACCACCCACCCACCTCTCGGGATAGCTGCCTGTGATACAATGCCCCTGCTGTCTCTCGTGTGACGGGCGACTCAATGCCCATCTTCAGCAGCAGGTCCTGAAGCTCCTCCGATGCTGCTGCTGCTGATGACGAGGAGGAGGAGGAGGAGGAAGAGAGGGAAGGGGCGATTTCCCCACTCGCCGCCCCCTGCTGCTGCTGTAGCTTCTGTCGCATTCTCTCTGCCAGTTTCACCATCTCGCTCGCCTTGGCCTGCAAAAAGGAAAGGGAGGGAACGCGGGAAGACACATAAAACAGCAGCTTTTGTGAAAACTCTCCCACCCTCCTCCCCCCCCCCCCCCCCCCCCCGGCCCATGCTACTGCTGCTGCAGCTTCTGTCGCATTCTCTCTGCCATTTTCACCATTTCGCTCGCGTTGGCCTGTATGGACGGAAGGGAGGGGAGGCCGGATGCACACATGTAAGGTAGTAGGCAATAGGCTGCTGCTCTGCTCCCCCTGCTGCTGCTGCTGCACTTACTAGCGCATTGGCTTTGCCAGTTTCACCATGTCACTCGCCTTAGCCTGTTTTGACGGAAGGGAGGAGAAAAGTGGAAGGGGCAAGAGGCAACGGGCAACGGGCGACGGGCGAGGGGCGAGGGGCGAGGAGCGAGGGGCGAGGAGCAGGGGGCAAGTGGGAAGGGGGAAGGAGCAAAGGGCGTTCACAGGAGCACATGGCAAACCAGAGGCCGAAAATGAGTGAGGCACGCATGTGGATGGACGCAATGGCATGGCATGGCATGGGATGGCATGGCATGGCATGGCATGCCTGATCCTGATGCAGGCACCCCGGATCGACTCATATACTCTCTCCAGCCCATACTCTCTCCAGCCCATACTCTCTCCAGCCCATACTCTCTCCAGCCCATACTCTCTCCACGCCCATACACAGTACACTCTCCAGGCTCATACTCTCTCCAGGCTCATACTCTCTCCTCACCGTGAGCACATTCAGGAAAGAACACGCCTCCCACAGCCTTCGATCCAATGACTACTGGAGTTATAGGCTTTACACTGTAGGTGGTCATCTCATCTCCTCACCATCACCGCATTCCCTCGACTCCACCACTCCACTCCACTCCACTCCACTCCACTCCACTCCACTCCACTCCACTCCACTCCACTCTACTCTCCTCCACTCACCATGAGCGCATTCAGGTCGGCAAACGCCTTCTGCAGGCTGCGATCCGTCGCCTGCTTCTGCTGGTAGGTGCACCTGAGTCCCTTTGTGCCATGTGATACATGATAGAGCAGCAGTCCAAGTCCCTGACCTGATAGGCTCATACCCTCTCCTCCACTCACCATCAGCGCATTCAGGTCGGAGAATGCTTCCTGCAGGCTGCGATCAGTGGCCTGCTTCTGCTCCGCCTCACGCCTCAGAATGCCCCCCACCCCCGCCATTGCTGTGCTGAACTGCACCGGAGGAAGCCCCCCCGCCCCCCCTGCTCCCCCCGCTCCCCCCACTCCCCCCGCTCCCCCTAGTGCGCCCATTTCCCCGCTTCCATATCCCCCGCTGCCCCAATACAGGGGGTTCGCTCCGCCAGTTGCTGAACCCCCGATTCCGCTCCCCGCAAATGCGCCAAGCGCTGCTGCTGCTGCTGCGCCCATCGGCGGGGCGGGGAGAGATGCGGATGCGGCAGCAGGGGGGGTTACTAGCCCCGGAAAAGGTGATTCTTGCCACTTTCTAGCCGCTAAAGCTTCGTTCAGTTTTTTTAAGAACACGTCAGCGGGGGCCTGGCCTCTTAAAACGGCTACTAAGGACGCGGTTCGTCCTAAAGTAGTCCTTAAGTTGCTGCTCTGTGTGCTGTAGCTGCTGCTGCCAATTGCAGAAGATGACAGAACAGCCCGCCCCTGCGGGTCTAGTAAGACGTACATGCGAACACGAGGGGAGGCGAAAACTGAGGTGAGTCGCCACCCTGCAGTGGAAGCATTCGCAACGGCGACGAGGGGTACCGCGAAAGCTCGTTTCCGGTTACCACCTGTCGCCGGCCGTTCGTCGATCCAGATCAACCGGTGCGTGGTGAGCGACGCGACGCCATCACGAAGCGACTCCGCTTCGAGAACCGCGCCGGAATTTGCGGCGGGATGTGCGGCGGAAGTGCCGGAGCTTACCTCCTCGAACTCAATCCCCGCGTCGTCGATTAAGAGGCTCTCTACCTCGCCGGGGAACAGCACGGGCCGGCCGGAAGGAGTTAAATCAACGGTGTGCAACATGCGCTCCGCCAGGGGAGCCGAGGCGCGCTGGTGAGCCATCACGCGCGGCTCGGATCATGAGTGGATGAGGCTGTTCGAGGCGATTTTTTAGGGCTGTTCGAGAGTGGAACGAGGCGATCGGCGCGTCACCTAACGTTGGGTAGGGGAGCGGAGATGGCCCGCAGCGAAGGCGCCTTGCGATTGGTCGGAGGCGTAAGTTTAGGACGCGGCACCTGTTTTCATAATGCCAGGATCGATCGTGGGAGCAGATCGATATCTTGAAATTGAAGGAAAGGATTAGAGAGGGTAAACTGCAAGTAGAAAGAAAAATGCCTAAAAATAAAAAAAGTCAGATTGAAGGAAGACAAAGTGCATAAGATAAAAGAAATTCTTGAAGTGATTGATTTAGAATGTAAAGAGTTTGAAGGATAAGGTTAAAGGTAAAGATAATAAACTTGAAAGAAAGATGATGAAAAACATAAAAGAAAATGAAAGATTCACTGAAAGAAAGATATTGAATGAATGATTGATGGAAAGGTAAAGGATGTTAAAGATAAAACAACCTTGATAGTAGTATTAAAGATTTGAAAAGAAAGGAGAGATAAAGCTTTAAATAGAGGAGCTTGAATAGAGAGGAACTTGATAAAACAAAATAAGTTTAACAGGAATGAAAGAGGAAGTGACTTACCTTGAGAATCTTGTTATTTTGAAGGAGCTTTGTAACTTGAAGAGGCCAAGCTTGAATGTAGATCTTGATTGTTGAAAGAAGAATGAGATCCAAGCTTAAATGTTGAATACTAGGTCTTGATTGTTGAGTGAAAATGCACCTCCAAGCTTGAGTGTTGAGATGTAGATCTTGTTTGTTGTGTAGAGAAGAAACCTCCAAGCTTGAATGTTGAAGGTGAAGCTTGAGTCTTCAATTAGAAGAAATTCAAAGCTTGATGTTGAGGCCTTGAGACTTAAAATGCACTAGTCCAAAGGAGGTACATGATAGACTTGAAGAGCAACCATAGATAACAATCTAGTAGAAAGACTATGAAGCATAAGCTTCTCTAGAGTTGGAGCACATGGCTATGAGCTTGGGTTGGGAGAGGTTGGTGGTGAGTGGAGCCTTAGGAGTTGAGCATGAGGAGGAGGACTTTGAAGGTGGCATTGAGAGAGCTAGAACTTGTGGAGAGCTTGGGTGAAAAGTTGCTTGAAAGTATATAATGAAGAATGAGGTGGACCCTTTTTTTGTATTTGGTGGAGCTTGAGGTTGGATGAAGGAGGAGGAAAAGGTGAATGATGGTGATTGGTTGAGTTGGATAAGGTAGGGGTGATGAATGTGGCATTGAAGTGAAGGCTTGGTGAGGAGAATGAATGTGTCCTTGATTTGAAGGCTTGGTGAGGAGAATGAATGTGTCATTGATTTTAAGGCTTGGTGAGTGGAATGAATGTGGCTTGAATTTAAAGGCTTTGTATGGAATCTTTTGTTTGATTGGTGGATGAAGGGATTAGACCGATGATGAGGATAGGAGGAGAGATTAGGTGGAGGAATGATAGGTTTTGATTGGTGAGAAGGTGATGATGCTGTGCTGTCTGGAGATATGAATGGTGTGGTGGCGAATGAGCACTTTTGCAAGATGCCTTTTGCAGATTCGAATTTTGGCTGACGGGGAACCTGTGGCGAAAAAAATGCGCCATGTGAAAAATTTCCCGCCACCTTGGTGCCACGCGAGCAGCAGCAGCGGCAGTTCATTCCAACAACCCCTCGCACTGCTGACCCTCAGAGCGAGATGAAGGAGCGGAAGGGACAGCAGTGGAGAAGCCCGCAAGAGACTCGAGCGACACTAATCCAGCACGTTGGCGGCCAAGAACGAAGAGGTGTCGTGGAAGTATCTTAGTTAGGAAGTCAGCACCCTGGTCCGTGGTCCGTGGTCCTGGCCCGGTGCCGAGAGTAGAGGATCGTCTAGATGCAGTGCAGGGCGCTAGAGTCTTCTCCAAGATCGATCTTCGCTTGGGTTACCACCATATTCGTGTAGTTCCAGAGGACCGGCACAAGACGGCGTTTCGTACGAAGCAGGGGTTGTACGAGTTTAGGGTTCTACCGTTCGGACTGACCAACGCCCCAGCGACGTTTCAGACGTGCATGAACACCGTCCTTTCCGAGTTCCTAGGTTCGTTCATTGTCGTTTACCTAGACGACATCCTGATCTTCTTCAAGACAAAAGAGGAGCACGTGTAGCACTTGCAAAAGGTCTTTAAGGTCTTGAGGACGGAGCAGTTGTGTGTGAAGCAGTCAAAGTGCGAGTTCTTCCTTCCTGAGGTCGAGTTCCTAGGACACGTCATATCTACTAGTGGCATTAGGGCGGACGCAAAGAAGATCGCAGCCGTACAGGAGTGGGTGGCACCGACCTCAGTCAAGGAGTTGTAGGGTTTCTTCGGATTCGCTAATTACTACCGTCGTTTCGTTCAGGGTTACGCTTCCATCGCTAGTCCACTCACCGACCTACTTCGAAAGAGCGTAGAGTACGTTTGGGGTCCAGCACAGCAGCAGGCGTTCGAGCAGATGAAGCAGTCGCTCACGTCTTCACCGACACTGTTGTACCCAGATCCTGCTCGCCCGTATGTTGTAGTGACCGTCGCTTCAGATCAGTTCATTGGAGTAGTGCTTCTTTAGGACCAGGGCCGCGGGTTGCAGCCGATAGCGTACGAGTCGTGTAAGCTGAGGGGAGCCGAGTTGAATTATCTGATCCACGACAAGGAGGCGCTCGCGATCATCCATGCGTATAAGGTGTGGAGGTGCTACTTAGAGGAGGCCGATAGTGTTATACGCACGGACCATTGCTCGCTTCGCTTTCTCAAGTCGCAACCGCAGCTGAGTCGTCGCCAGGCTAGATGGATGGAGTTCATGGAGGGGAGTTTCCACTACAGGATAGAGTACAAGCTGGGCGTGCGCAACCCAACAAATCCGCTCACTCGCCCTAGTTGCCAGCTCGCTAGTCTCACAGTCACTGCCGGCCATCCACTTCTCACAGCACTCTTCGAGAACGGTTCCACAGTAGATCCCGACTTCACACCGCAGCCGCCCGCAGGAGCAGAGGTGCAGGGTAGTGTCTACATACGGAAGGGTACAACACGAATGTGGGTTCCAGCGTACCGCCCTCTTCGACAGCTCCTTCTTTCCGATGCCCACGATGTAGTTAGCGCGGGTCACTTTGCAGTAGACAAGACGGCTAAAACGCTTAGTCGCACATACTTTTGGCCAGGGCTTGCAGCAGAAATAGAGGATTATATTCGCTCGTGCGACACGTGTCAGCGTACGAAGTCCTCTCGCCAGCGCAAGGCAGGACTTTTGCAGCCGATTCCACCGCCCGACCGCCCTTGGCAGGTAGTCACCATGGACTTTATCATGGCTTTACCGAGCACGGTTTGGGGACATGACGCCATATTCGTGGTAGTGGACAAGTTCTCTCGAGCAGCGCACTTCATCCCCACGCACGGCAAGGTTACAGCAGAGGAAGTCGCGACGCTATTCATAGATAACGTAGTTCGACTGCACGGGGTTCCAGATTCCATCATCTCAGACCGCGGCCCACGTTTCACTTCGAAGTTCTGGAAACAACTTTTTTCACTGTATGGGACTCGCTTAGCCATGTCGTCTGCGTACCATCCAGAGACAGACGGACAGACCGAGCGCGTGAGCCAGACCTTGGAGCAGATCCTTTGCAGCATCACGATGCACGACGCAACAGCATGGGACAAGAAGCTGAACATGGCCGAGTTCGCCTACAACAACACGCATCATTCCGCCACAGGCATGTCACCATTTTTCGCAATGTACGGTCAGCACCCTAATGTCCCCACTCGTGTCAATCTCACACCCACAGTCCCTCGTGCGGACAACTTCCACCAGCATCTCACTTTCATTCATGATCACGTGAGGAAGCACCTTGAGCTCGCTAATGCACGCATGGCACGCACCACCAACCGTAGTCTTCGTGAGGTGTCGTTTTCTGTCGGTGACCTTGTTCTTTTGGATAGCCGCAACTTCCGACTGCCACAGGACAGCAAGCTTCGCCCACGCTTGTTTGATTGGTCCATTCGTCATTGAGCACGCACTAGGTCCAGTCGCATATCGCCTTCGCCTTCCTGCTCATTTCCGCATGCACCCGTCATTCCACGTGTCTCTTATTCGTCCTTACACCGATCCCAATGCCATCTTCTCGGGCCGTGATCTCACTCCACTGCCGGTAGCTGTTGACACCGACGAGCCCGACTACCAGATCCAGCGCATCCTCAGGCACCGTCGCCGTCTCCAGGGGGGTGTCTCTTTCATCGACTTCTTGGTTCGTTGGCGTGGTTACGATGCCGCCGAAGACAGTTGGGTTCCTTCGTCCTCCCCATCTTTTGACAACGCTTGCCTCCAAGCGTACCTTCAGTCTGCAGGCGCCGCGGACGTCGCCTCCTTGGGAGTGGGATAGTGTTACGGGGTAGTTTAGAGCGTGTTACGTACCCCTTATTTTGGGGCCTGGTCGCGGTTGCCTCAAACATGCCGGTTGGGTTGAACGTAGGGTTATCCGATAACCCTACGCTCTACAGTGTACAGTAATGTACGTGCGTACCATACCACTCTGACAGCTGGTCGAGGCAAGCACGTAGTCGGGCAACCGACTGGTCTCGACCAGGTACAACCGTATTGAGGCAACCAGAGTTGAATGTACCTAACCGGCGCGCAAACAGAGGGTGCACAAAAACATTGCGGGCAGGTTGCACAAGCGAGACTCGATGTGACTGGTGCAATCAAAATTTCATCAAATTTTGGCCACTAAGACTGATGCACTGACTGTTGGGTCTACCCGAAATACTATTTGCACGGTTGGGTCCCACAAGCAGGCGGGTGGTACATTTGCAGGTTGCCTGCTAGGTACCCAACCGGCCAAGTTGACAGCCCGGTCGACCTGACCAGTCAGGTTGAGTCGACTTTTGGAGGCAACCGGGGCCCACTACCAAAATAAGGGGTACGTAACACGCTCTTATCCCAACCCTATCTTCATCCAATCCACCAAGGATTTCTTAGA